CCTAAAAAAAATCAAGTGTGTCACCATGAACACAATCCGTCACTCAATAAATAACAAATAATAATAAAAATGTGTCACTTTTGATGCATTGCCTCACAACTTCAACAGCATAAGACGTCATTCACACAGAACAATGTAAATAATGGACTGAAAAAAAAAAGGTCTAGAAATGTGTGTTTTTTTAACTTGACCTCTGGGTTTTTAGAAAATGCTCTGTAAAGCATGAGACATTGTAAAAGAAAGAAAATGTCCGACTGCATGTTTACATCAAAAAACTATGGAAAAGCAGCACAGTGAAATGCAAAAAGGTATTCTGTGTGAACGTCCCCTACAGCAGCAACTTCAACTAAGACGTCATTCACACAGAACAATGTAAATAATGGACTGAAAAAAAAAAGGTCTAGAAATGTGTGTTTTTTTAACTTGACCTCTGGGTTTTTAGAAAATGCTCTGTAAAGCATGAGACATTGTAAAAGAAAGAAAATGTCCGACTGCATGTTTACATCAAAAAACTATGGAAAAGCAGCACAGTGAAATGCAAAAAGGTATTCTGTGTGAACGTCCCCTACAGCAGGAAAAAGAGTCAATCATATAATAATACGATATTACATATGAACATGATAGAACCTCATTTGTTGTTTTTCAGCTAAATTACTAATTTGTCTGAAGTTTACCTGTAATATATAGTTTTTGTTGGACTGGCTCAAGCAGACACACAGGTTCCCTGAGTGAGCCCAGCACATGAGTTGGAGGCAGGTTTAAGATAAATACTGGTGATCCATCCTCTGTTTCCCATATGGATACTTGCCCATTTCTCTGCATCAACAAAATCTAAAAACAATTTCAGGAATGAGATACATTTACATGTATGTTCTTGGCAGATACTTTCTTAATAAAGTGACTTCAGATCTTGGACTAACTGCAACTACAACTGCAAACAAAACCATTAAAGTAGCTGTCACAACCATACAGGTATATACTGTATACACACACACACACACACACAATATAAAGATACACATATATATCTGAATTATGCTGCAAAATTGTACAATACCAGACACTTCAGGAAGGGCACATGTTCAGCAACAGTGACAGAACTGCCTGGGCCTGCAGGTCTGATAAGAGACAGTCATTATATTTATTTCAAGCATGTCAGGTTTTAGCATGTTAATGGACATGACAGCATTAATGTATTTGGTCTTGGCAGGTAAGATCTGCAATGCATGGCAATAAATACAGCTGTAAGATATGCTGCTGCTACATTTATAGGCATACATAAATCACATAGCAGATCTAGACATGTGGAACTGGGGGAGGTAGAGGTTTTCAGAGGAACTGCAGGACCAGCAAACACAGAACCAGACTATTAGCTATTTACACACCACATTTAGTATTTTTGAACCCGTTTTAATAACTGTGAGTATTTAGTACCTTTCAGTAAGTGCAACAGTGCATGTGTCTCCTCCTCTGCCCGCTGTCACACTGTAACATGCCCCACTTCTGCAAGTGACCACTAACTGTAGTGTGGGCAAAAAGGGACCCTGAAAGAGCGGAGTGACCGGCAATTGACTCTGCAAAAGAAGCTTCATCCTACAAATGGCACCATGTCCTGGGATCACAATATTGGCATATGGACACCCTGCACCACCAGAAGACAATCAAGGGTAAGATTCTTTCTCTCAGTATGATCGGTGTCACATTGTATTGTGCAATTATATCATGGTTCATTCTTATAATTGAGAACCACACAATATATATCATAAATAATATCTTAAATCACTAAATACTAAAGCAAGCCTACCAAACCGTCTGTCCCATATAGTAACCAGCTGACCGTCAAGCCCTAGAACAATGAACCGTGTGCAGGCACTGACGGCAGAGCAGAGGATTTCCTGAGAATTGGGCCACAAAACATCTGGTCTGGGTTCACTGTCTGATCCAAGAACAGATTAAAATCTAATTTATAAACATGACTAACAAATGTGTCCTTGTAATGTTAATATACTGTATTTTCTTTCTAATCTATGCAGTATAAATGTATGAGTTAATGGCTTGAGTACCCTTCTCTTTAGGGGTCTTCAACAGAAGATACTGTAAGAGATTATGGCTGCCATTCCACCATATGCACACAGCAATGGGAATATCTTCAAAGATAATTTGAAGAAATATTATAAATGCATATTCAGAGAACTGATTGTACTGTAAATTGTGATCACACACCGTTACAGGCTATATTTATCACTGAAAAACATACATGTGAAATCATCTCTTGAGTTCATGGCTCACCTCTAGCTGCCTTCGCTTCTCCAGGCATTGAATGAAACCCCTCACGCAGTAAGAAGTGACAAGTACAGTTGCTGTAAGGAAAAAAACTAATTTTGTAGTCTGAAAAAATTAACCTCTGGAAAAAAAAAATCTTGATATCTTTTGTAACCTCTAATGGTTCTAGTGTTTCACTGCACACTTTGCCAAATATTTCACATATGATCAGTTCAGCTGCTCCCTATATCCAACTTTTTAAAACATTCCATCATTTTAGTTAAATCGTGGCTGCAAATTAACTAAATTAAAAGAAGGCAACGAATTAGTACAGCACAGCCACAATTTACCTAAAACAAGAGAACAAATTAATCAAACATGACCATGAATTAATAAAACATGGCCAAAAAAGTTGCGAGAGCAAATTTGTGGCCACGATATCTATTACAGAGTTACTATTACTATTCTTGTTTGCTACGTCTATATAAAAAGATATTCATAGAATTAGTTAGTGTGTTAGTGTGGATAAATTGTCAAAATACTTTTTGGGATGACTATATGGTATACCTCCTGAATCAAGTGAAATATGACTTCCAATACTCTTTAATCAAGCCTACCTTGGTCCTTCTGCTTTTTGTTGTGGTGTCATCACAGAGCTGGAGCTGAGGTACTTCATGAACATTTTCTTAAATGCTGCATCCTGGTTTTCCCATTGACGACTACTAATGAGGTGATTTTGGCCTGAGCCTATTATAGTGCCTTCCTCTGTCTTCTGCAGGACCTCAGATGGACTTTTCAGAGAGGTTCCTTGAAGACACCAACAGTAAAAGAAAGACATAACAAACTTCTGAAACAAACTTTTTTTTAGCAGCAGTGATTTAAATTACCGGTAGATACCTGCAGGGATTTCTGGAGGTTTGATCTTCATGAGTAAGACTACTGGAGACAGTTTGGCTTCTGTGGTCTGTGGGGTTTGTGTAGCCTACAGAAGAGATGGCAAAATATGATCATCTCATTGCAGTAATTTTGCAAACAATGGCAGAAAAAGAAATAAACAAATAAATAAATAATAAATACAGACAGTATAGGAACAAACATACAGTATATTTTATTCTGAAAAAATACATAACAGTTTAAAATATGCCTCCAAGGAAATTGGGAAATTTTGAAGTGACATCAACAATGCACCATGTTAAGATTTGTTTAAAGCATAAATACAGCTAACAAGAATATATGGTCTTCCAGGTAACTTTCCAATGTAACTATAAGTTACCTGTTTGGTTTCCAGCTCTTTGAGCCACACATCTAGTGGGAAGCGATAGACATCCAGCCAAACAGAGCCACTGGCTTCATTGACGATATACCACAACAGCATTAATTAATCAGTAGTACTCACAGTTAAATGTATTTTTAGTTTTATATTACATTTCCGTATTTTAATAGGAAATTTACATGTCATGACTGCAGCTCCAAAGTCCCCACTTCTAGACACTTCAAATTTTGCACAGATGTTTCTTTGGTTTATATCTTCCTGTGAGAAATGTAACACATGTCTATTACCAATCGAAAACCAACAACACACTCACACACACACACACACACACACACACACACACACAAAAGCTCTTAAAATGGTATTATGAACTTACAGTTTCATTGATGACTTTTATTAAATAAATATTCTCCACGTGATGCACAAAAAGCCGTGCAATACCTTAGGAGAAAATAATGTATAAAAATATGTATAAATAAATACAGAAAATATAAAATAGGGAGTTTTTCATGTAAATTGTCTAATAATATCCCCCACTCTCAGAAAATTACCCATGTCATCCACTGTGCATAAGAGATGTGTGGCATTTCCCAGAGAGGTACAAGAGATGCTGGTAAGCTCCACTCTTTCATCCTGCCACGTTCTTACACAGGTGAGAGTGGATGTACTGATGACTGACAGACCATGAGTGTGACCCAGAAACAGGTAAAGTCCATCATCAGAGCACACAATACTATTAGTTCTGCCTGGAAGCTAAGAACCAAGCAACAAAGAAATCATATGTAAAATGAAAATTTTGGACAAATGCATCCAAAGCACAAAGCAATATGATGAGGCAATTTGAATGTGCATGTTAAACATACCTTCATTTCTTTAGAAGCATTCAGCACAGGAATTTGTCTTGCTGCTTCTTCATCCCTCTTGATCTTTTCCTGCTCTGATATAACTTCCCATACACTGTCAACAAGGTTATTTAACAGCTTATTGACTACTCTTGCAGACTCAGGTAGATTATTATCAGGCTGCTGCAGATCTGTGAAATAAGTCACATCATCGTCTTCACAGCTGCTGTAATCTGATGGCTCTGGGATCTCCAAACCTCTTCTGACATTCTCAGCCATCTTGTGTTATTTCTGGAGGGGAAAAAAAGATATTGAAAATGAATTGCCGAATTCATTTTTGGCAGAACATATTTATACACACACACAGATACCTAAATATAAATATGTCAGCATATACAAAATGGACCTGAGAAAAACTGTGTTTTGCATATGGTACTAAAGTAATATTATGTACCATAATACCATGATACTATTGGAATTACCTTCTTGGAATTAACTTACCTTCCAGTTAGTATTAGATAAACAAAAATGGTGTAATCAAACAATGCCATGGAAAGTGATACACCATGGCACCTCCACATTTCTACTGTAAGAGTAAATTCACAATACCAACAAACTATACTGTACTGTAATGTTACATAAACAGTAAAAAACAACAACAATACTTCATGTCCCATAAGCTTCTGCCACTGCCATTTCAGTAAAACTTTATTCAGTCAATGTTCATTTTAGAGCTCATTTCCATCAGCTTCATAAAAGGAGTGTAGATCTGTGACGGGCTGGTTCTCGCTCTAGGACTGGTGGTAGAGGACAGTTCTGAGCCTGTTGGAGATTTGGAGTCCCCGTCTTCATGGCTGGTCTGAACATAACTTGAAGACAGAGGTGCCGTTTGTGTGGGACTGGTTGCAGTTTCTTGTGTATGTACTACACTGGAGCGCAGCATTGTGCTGTACTGACCAGGAGTGTATTTAAGAAGACTATAGTTCAGTCTGCTAGAGGATCTTGGGGCTGATGAGATGGGGCTGGGTTGGACAGGAGTGATATCCGGCAGCTCCTCAGATCTATGCACACAGGGAGAGCATGTGAGTAAAGGTGTGGCCTTGAAAGCAGTTTTAAATTTCTTATGGCAAGGTGATCTTGTGCTCATTACCTAATGGGGAGGTCACAGCCAACTCCAATGTCCCGGGTGGCTACTTTAGTCTCAGATGCTCTCTGTATAGACATAAAATACTTCAACTTGTCTCCTAACTCATTATTCTAGGAAAAGAAGCAAAGCAAAGGACAGAGTCAGACCATAGGCATGGGAAATTAAGTAGAGAATTAATTTCACAGACATATAAAGAGGACACTGGACAAAGATTGATTCAGTTTAGATGTGTGAGAAATCTGAATGACAACCAAAGGGACTCAAAAGAGCCCAGCTGACAGAACAGCAATGAATTCAAGAATAGTCACATTCAGGATGCTTATTCCAACCAAGCTGTGCCTTTCTAGATTGGTAAAGGCGAGGGGCTTTACATGGAACCCCCATTCCATTGCTACATGGAAACAGTTGCTCTTACCTCACATTCCACTATGGCAATCCTGTCCAGCAGCTCAGAAATGAACATATCCTTCTGTGCAACTTTTGCTCTCAATGTTTCAACCTGCGGAATTGTTTGTTTGTTTTATAATTAAAAAGATTGAATTACAATAATGGTGTCATGATTTCTTGAAAGGAAACGTTTGTTTTGGATTCATTTTGTGTACATAGTATACTCTTTATTAACAGAACGAACAGTCTATCTGTAAATCCTCACCTCCTCTATCATGGCCTTGACCTTCCTCTGTTGAGAGAACACCATGTCGTTGAGATGCTTTATTCGCTCTCTCAGTTCTGCCGCTTCCTCTTTCAGCTGCTCGGACCTGAGAAAGAACGTTGCTTAGGAGTGATATAACATACGCAATAAAATACTAAAATACAACCCAGTATTATTGGGTATTGTTCAGTATTATTGGCCAAGAGTATTATTGGGAGTTTTTTTTTCTGAGGAGACAAAATGAAAACATTTTTAAAAGAAAACCCCCCCCCCAAACAAACAAACCTAAAAATAAGATTTCTGCAATTAATCGTGATAACATAAAGTATAAACATAAATGTATTTTCACACTGAATCTCCAAACGAATGTAGAAACAACATAAAGACAGTATTTTTAAATATGTTTTACACTAAATACTATAAATGAAGGCCAGTATCACTGATGTCAGTACGGATTCATTTTTTTCTGGGAATAAAACCAGTAATTATAGCCATTCACCATTACAGTATAGTTATACTTCAGTTGAAGGCCAGGGCTAAACTACAAATTATTAGACTAGTTCTTATTTATCAATTATTAACTATTACATAACATTGAAAATATTATAACTACTTTTAATTTAAGTGAACCTTAAACAATATTCACGCAAACCCATTATAATAAATGTGACATTTAGCCATGCTTTTCATACAGTGTGTTTGGTGATGTTTTTGTCTCTGTCAATCAGGTATCAAGGATGTAAGGAACATGTTAGACATGCTCAAGTAACATAGCTTCTTCAAAAAATAGGGGGAAATCAATTCTGGTTATCTGAGTTTATTTTAACGCATTAAAAAGCAAATATTAATCGCAGAAATTCATGCATTATATTTCTTTGCCCTACTTATACTTATTACAGTTATGGTATCTGGTTATTATAGATCTTAAACTGTCCACTGAAACCATCCCGAATTAAGGAAATATGACATCACCACTGGTTTCAGATGCAAACTTAGTATAGTTTAGGTATACATTAAATGTCTTACTGTTTGGCCACAGCTTTGTCTGCATGGTCAGTTTGGTCCAAACCATGTAAGCGTTGTTCACATTCACAAAGCTTTTTTATCAGGTCACCCTTCTCCTGTTATAAAGAGAGAAGTGCTGTATAAAAAGTTTCCTTCAGGGGTAACAGGCAAAGGCTGAGCCAACTGATATTATTTACCTGAGCCATACAGTTTAGTAGCCTCTCCACCTCAGTAATTCTTTGATCTCTTTCAGCGATCTTTTCCTCAGCTATCCGAGCATTCCTCTCCGCCTCCTCAAGCCTCCTCATGTAGTCATCAAGCTGTGCCTGCGGACATAAAAGTCAGAACTACAGTCATTTATTTGCCTCTGTTCATCAGTCTTCATCATCATTCTCTCTGAAATCTTCACTTTTACCACTAGGTGGCACCCTTACTTAGAAAAAAAAATCTACTTTTTTTTCTCTTCCCTGGTGAATAACTACAGATGTTTCCTGTTATGAGATTGGAATCCTTACGCCCTGCTTGTGAAGTATAATACAAACGTAGTCTTTTTACAGTGTGTCTGTAGGTATTACAATCTTTCAAAAGTCACACACATTAAAGCGAATGCATTTGTCACATTAGCATGCAGTGAACTAGTTGGACAGTAAGGCATTGTGAGTGTCTGTTTGTTTGGTTGGTTATATCTGTACCTGCAGAGCCTCTATCTCCTCTCTGTACTTCCTCTGCTGTTCTTGCAGCTGTTCCTCATATTCCCTCTGTAGCTGAGCACTCAACTCTTTCAAAGCTTGAGTCTTGGCCTCCTGAGAAGTCTCCACCTACATACAAAAAGCTATTTAGTTGTCACATGTTAATAACCATGCTACTTATGTAAAAAATTGACATTTTTAACTTTTAAACACAAATATTCCATGTACAGTACACGCTTAAAAATAAAGGTTTCAAAGAAATAAGGGTTTCACAGCAATGCTGGCTTTCTCAAAGACCCTTTCAGTGAACCCATTTTTTTCTTAGTGTGAAGAACATTTTAGTAGTCTACTCTAAAGAACCTTTTTTCACTATAAAGAACCTTTTTGTGCATTAAAGGTTCTTCATGGAACCATAGACACCAATAAAGAACCTTTATCTCAATTAATATGAGGTTGAAAAACTTTATATACAATAATTTGAAAAAAAACAAAAAAAAAAAACATAAAAAACATTTTTAGATGAAGTGTAGCATGTCACACCGCAGGACACTGCTGTCACCACAAGATTCCTGTTGTAAATTGTGTCCATGCTTACTAGCCAATAGGTGTTAGATCTCTGTTGTCTACTATGAAATGTTTCTCTGTATTTAAAGAGTAATGTTTCATTAACAAAAAGGAACAAAGTACCATGGTATTAGGATGTCTGTAACATGAAGGGTCTGCATAATAATAAAAGTGCTGTGTAATATGTGTTTGTGTGTGCACCTGATTTTTGAGAGACTGGTTTGCAGCCTGTGCTGCTGCTAGCTGTCTTTCCGTTTCCTTGAGTTTTTCCTCTGTCTTCTCCAACGAGCTGCGCACAGCTTTCTTCTCATCTCTGTTCCCCACACGATTTTGACAGCTTTCCAGCAATGATTTCTAAAACAGCCATCATCAACAGCAGCAGCAGCAGCAGCACATAAGCATTATATCAGTCATATGGACAAATATACAGGTACTTTCTAAAAGCATGCGTATGCTGACAGTAAAAAAAAAAAAAAACATCTTTAACTTGTGACATTTAAATGTTGACCAGTCTAAGCATGCTGACTACAAAAACTATGTCAAGAGTTTTTCTGAACAGAACAAGCCTTTGTCAGTTGGCAGTGACCACACTGATTGTGTACCTGTAGATCAATGTTTGCTGATATGAGGGAGCTGTTCATGTGGTCAAAGCTCTCCATAGCTACACTTCTCGTCCTCACCTCTGACTCAAGGTAACGCTTATGAGAGTTGGCTGCCTGGAACAAACACAGTCAGCACATTGAGAACTTGTTATAAAACCGACAGTCAGCACATTTGTCATAAAATCGTAAAATGTATTTTTTATGAAGCCTGACAGAGTAAGGTTTTGTGGTAGATAATATTCGTAGGTATTATTACACAGCTCTATGGAAAACTGATTGGTTAACTGCAACAACCAGGTAACTGAAATAAGGCCCTGCTTTCATGTCTCTTGTATCACCCCATGGACTTGCTCTCTCTTGTTTCATACAAACACAACTGCCAACAAAATCACACAGAAACGTGTACCTCATTACTAGGAGAGCATTGACTCCTCCAGACTGCAAATCAGGCCAAAATCATTTGTGCAAAAGTCATGTAGTTTACTCAAATCACTTCAGTATTAATATTACTGTAATAATTTGCAGGGTTTGTCTTATCTCTGAGCTAAATTCTAAATGTATTTTTGTAATTATTATTAGTACATTTTTATTTTGTAGAATTTGTTTTATTTATTTTACATTAGAAAATAATTTCAGATCAATATTTTTTTATATTATTTTTTTGATGAATAGCTGTGTAATATGCAATGTCAGTCAGCCTGTCATTATTTCATAATAAAACCCAACAGGATGGTCAGGGTGACTGGTCCATTATTCCTTCCTTAAACATTTGTCATGCTGTGTTTTGCTCACCTTTAATTCCTGAGTTAATTTTTGCACTGATTGTTGCATCCCTCCAAACTGGCCATACATCCGCTCTCTGACTTTTTCCAAAGAGTCACGTACCTTTGAGAAAAGAAGGATGGTTTTAAGTTATCTGCTTGCTGAATAGCATCGAGTATCTGCTAACTAGTTAAGTAATAACTAGTCTTCTAGTTGCAAGTTACAGTTAGCTAGGTAGCAAAAGAAAAGTCTCTGCGCTTACCTCTCTGATGTACCTCATCTCATCCCTCAGGTGACTGACAGACGACTCGCGTGCCATCACTTCCTGTTGGTGGCTGGTGCCTGTGCTCTGCACCACGCCATAAACTCTGGACCCGTGCTGAGCAGGCTGGTCCCGACCGATGCCATTGGTCATGGGGTGCTGGGGGAATAGGACCATAGGGCTCAGATTTCAGCTTGTGAATGTGTTTAAAAGGAGAGTGTGACACTGTTGTGTTTACAGCTGTGAAGACCAATGTCACCGAGTGCGTGTATGCCTTTTGGAACATCCTGGTTGCAAAATTTGAGTGAGACTGATAGACTTTATTTGCGAGTGACACACTCTGGTATTTTAAGCATTGCTGCTGAGTGTTCACAATGGTTGGGATGCAGACAGTCAGAATGGTCCTCGGCGAGGGTGTCATATTTCTGCATGCCAGTCGGAAAGAATAAATACACTCTTTTATATCTACAGGTTCACCATGAATATATGAAAAGGAACTTGAAACTTGGAATGCTGTCGTGTTAACATTATAGAGGGAAAGTACATAGAGAAAATATTTATTTCTTGACAATGCCAAGGGGGAAAGGAAAGTGAAGTGAAAAAGTTGTCACAATAGCAAACCCCAGGAGCAACTACAGGTGAGAAGATCTCGCTCAAGGGCACAGCGATGGGGATCAACGGCCATACAATTTATTCTGGTTCTGCTGCAGGATTCTGGGTTCTGGGACCTTTTACACTGGGTCACTTATGTCTCTAAGATTTAGTGTCTAAAGGAGTCATATTTCATGTTTTGCACGCCTTAATAAAACTCTTTTGTGATATGTTTAATAAGTGAACAAGCATTTTACTGTGCAAAGAAAGCCCTGAAGCCATACTGCACAGATACCCTTCAGCTCATGCTAGCTTTGCAAACAATAACACACTGAACTCAAATATCTTTTGGGAAACCAGCATCTGTGTTTTAAACTACAACGCTAACATAGATAAAATTACTCAGATAATATTACCGGGTGACACAAAAACATTCAAACAAATACTAAAATACTGTGTCTACTATCATTCAAAAGTTTTAGGTTGGTAAATATATATTTTTTAAATTTTTGAAACAAGTCTCTTATGCTAGCCAAGGCTGCGGTTATTTGATCGGGGGGAAAAAAATATTGTTAAATATTATTACAATTTTATATTTTTTTATATTTAATTCCTGAGATTGTAAATCTAAACATTACTCCAGTCTTCTGTGTGACATGATCCTATTCTAATATGCTGATTTGGTGCTCAAGAAACATTTCTTATTATTATCAACATTGCTTAATATTTTTGAGATAATCTTATCTTTTTTTTTCAGGATTCTCTGATGGATAGAAAGTTCCAAAGAACAGCATTTATTTAAAATAGATATCTTTTGTAACATTATACATGTCTTTACTGTCACTTTTATTCATTTTTATGTGTCCTTCCTGAATAAAAGTATTAATTTCTTTAAAAAAAAAAAAAATCTTACTAACTCCAAATTTTTGACGGTCATAGACTGAAATATTAGATTATGAAACTTTCCATAAGCATGGGTAATAGTAATGTGGGTTTGTTTGTGTTCTCAGAAGCTGTCATACCTTGTCTTCTTGTTGAGGTGATTCTCTCCCAGGGGGTCTTTCTCTCTGCATGAGCCCATTTTTCTTTTTCCAGGAACCATTGACCAGTTTCTCGCCCTGTGATATAACATATTTGATTATATCAAAATTTTCAGACATGTTGATGCTTGGGTGATACTTAGAAAACCAATGTTACAGATTGTTGAGGTTAAGGCATTATCAGAGGTTTTTCCCTTGCCAGATGTCTTCATGCAACAATTCAAGTTCTACTTCTAAAAAGCTTTCCTGTTTATGAGAAACCATATTCCATCTCTTACATGGGTGCTATTTTCACATCGTACTGAGGTGGAACAACACTGATGAAGTCTAGCTATGATCATACTCTCAGGGTGTGGTATTCCCCTTTCTCTTCTCAGGGCATAGTTTCTCAGAACTGTAATCTCATTCATGTCATGACCACATCTCCTCAGCGCTCCTCTCCAAAACAAAGCACAGAGTTTCAGCTTCCTCACTGACAGAGACTGAATTCTATATGAGAATAACTCTTCTAGAATATAAGATGTTGAGAAAACACGATTAATGTTTCCGTCAGATTCCGACTGAATGGGGAGCAACGTGTGGGAGTGGGTGGAGATAAGACAGAACAATGATGCCAATGTTGTTCATGGCCTTCTGCACTGGACTTCACTGAACTTGACAGATAATCCACAAAAACACAAGCCCATGAGACTAAATTTGAGGTACTCAAACTAGGGGAGAGTCATTTAAAATGTTGAAAACAGGACCTTATGCGTAGTGATATGAGTTATGTGTAGAGATATTTGTGAATCATTTTGGGGATTTAATTTAGCCAAATAAATCTAACAGAGAGATTAACCTTCTGGGGTGGCCATCCTGATATTACAGTGCAGCATTCTAGCTTTTAAAAAATGGTTACTTCATAATAAAATATTAAAGGGATAGTTCACCAAAAAAATGAAAGTTCTGACATCAATTACTACTCTCAGGGTGTGGTATTCCCCTTTCTCTTCTCAGGTCATAGTTTCTCAGAACTGTAATCTCATTCATGTCATGACCACACCTCCTCAGCGCTCCTCTCCAAAACAAAGCACAGAGCTTCAGCTTCCTCACTGACAGAGACCGAATTCTATATGAGAATAACTCTTCTAGAATATAGAATGAGATGTTGCGAAAACACGATTAATGTTTCCGTCTGATTCCGACTGGATGGGGAGCAACGTGTGGGAGTGGGTGGAGAGAAGACAGAACAATGATGCCAGTGTTGTTCATGGCCTTCTGCACTGGACTTCACTGAACTTGACAGATAATCCACAAAAACACAAGCCCATAAGACTAAATTTGAGGTACTCAAACAGGGGAGAGTAATTTAAAATGTTGAAAACAGGACCTTATGCGTAGTGATATGAGTT